TGACACAGTGGTCGTTATTCTGAAGTTCAAAACTTCAGTATTTTTAATTTTATTTCAATTCAAAAAAATGACACAGTGGTCGTTATTCTGAAGTTCAAAACTTCAGTATTTTTATTTCAATTCAAAAAATTGACACAGTGGTCGTTATTCTGAAGTTCAAAACTTCAGTATTTTTAATTTTATTTCATTTCAAAAAAATGACACAGTGGTCGTTATTCTGAAGTTCAAAACTTCAGTATTTTTATTTCAATTCAAAAAAATGACACAGTGGTCGTTATTCTGAAGTTCAAAACTTCAGTATTTTTATTTTTATTTCAAAAAAATGACACAGTGGTCGTTATTCTGAAGTTCAAAACTTCAGTATTTTTATTTCAATTCAAAAAATTGACACAGTGGTCGTTATTCTGAAGTTCAAAACTTCAGTATTTTTATTTTTATTTCAATTCAAAAAAATGACACAGTGGTCGTTATTCTGAAGTTTAAGTCTTCAGTATTTTTATTTTTATTTTAATGAGAAGAGGACTCTTTGGTCTTATAATCCTGCTAGGCTTCTAAGGTTTGCAATCATGGACGTGTGAGCAGAACAAACAGGCACAGGATTTTAAAGAGAGCAAACAAATCTATTTTATTTAATCATTTTGAGATATATGACGAGAGAGAATGAGCCACAATTTCATCGTGCTCCAGCTTAAATGTTAGAGAAAATCTTGCAAGGAAAATCAGTAAAATGCTTCGATTTAGGGTTAAAAAGAAATCTTAGTAATTATAATTGGTTTATCAAATAGGTCGAGCGATTCCCGCGAAGAGCAAAGGGGAAAATGTCTTACTTTTAATTAATGCTCTTACTTTTAATAGATTTAAGGACAGGATGTGTTTTGATTAGAATAATGATGTGAGAAAGTGTTTTGATTAGAATAATGATTTAAAAAAAGGTTTTACAGAAAAGGAATAACTTAAAAAGATTAATTGAAGCTTTTTATGTTACATAAATATATATATTTGTTTTTCTCTATATTCTTCTAAAGATAGATACCTAATCCTTTTTAGCATTGATGTTTTCCTTTGCTTTATTCTATGAACAGTGCACAAAAAATAAACCACACTGAATATTTTCTGATTGTTGGAAGGGTTGACCACAAATATGCTATCTAATTAGAATTAGCACGAACGATATTTTAATTATTGAAGTCAGACACAAAACTTACTTTCTCTGAATAAACATATCTTTTTTTTCGACTGATTCGTATTGCTGACCCCCAAAATATGGGGTAGCAGCAATCTGGGAATTATGGTCCGAATAGTTTGGTAAGGGGTTAATGGGTCATAGTTTGGTGGTCCAAAGTTTAAAACTCATTAATACTAATTTCACTTTTTGGGCATTTTTCCATAGCTCAAAAATTTGTTAAACGAATTTAAAACATTTCGCAAACAATTACAAAATTTGTTTATCAAATATAATCGTATGCAAGAAATGACTTTTATGAAATATTTATTATTTTTTATCATTTTATGTAACAATAGTCTAAGACATTTTAAGTTGCAAGTTTTGCAAGTTTTTGCGTCATTTTAAAGAATGTAATTTTACATGCAAAATACAAAATTTGAGTGAAATAGTTCATGAGAAATAAATTTTTAAAATTGCGACTTTTTTAAAATGCGCTCATACCATTCTCGCGTCCAAACTATTGGGACCATATCTCCCAAAGTACTACATTTACCTAATTTTATCAAATGTGATAAAACTATATGATATTGTTAATTTACCAAAATCATTACCAAAGTTCTTCCGTAAAAGTTACCAAGCTTTTGTGTTCCCACAAAGCCATCAACACCGCAAATTTTACCATTTTCTGGTAGTTTTGACCATATTTTTTTCAAAGCCCTATGACATAAATATTGCTTGTTCTTTTTCAAAACTAAATGTCGCATTTCTGCCCAAGGGAGACATTTTGTATTTCGGAAAACGTAAAGTAAATACCCTGAGGTGTTAAAAAGAAAAAAAACATTATATAATTACGTCTTGTTTGGTAAAACATAATCATTAAAATACCTGTTTTTATTTTTTGCCTTGCATAAAGAAGGTAATAAAAATTTACGACATCTTTGCTTTAAAGTAAAGAAATATATCACGCCAAAAGCTGTAATACAGACTTTTCATGTTATAAATATGAAATTATTTATAATTTTGTTCCTTTCGTTTAAATAAATATTTGTAATACAGAAATAGATAAATTCAACAAATAAGTTTACTTTTTGTAAAATATTTACATAAAAATATCGTATTTAAATTTGTCATTTTATTAAAAAAAAATTTTCAACGTACTGGATACATGGAGAAAAAATTCTAGAAAAATTTACATGTAATGACATTTTTAGAAAAAAAACAACATAATTCTGTTTAATAAAATCAAAATATGCGATATTTAAGCCATTCCTTTCGGTAATTTTCTGTTCTTATGTTACGGTTTTTCAGAAATTATGGTTTTAAAAATTATAGTTCTTATGAACACACATTTAGTGAAAAATACAAAACTAAAAAATGAATTTAATCGAATAAATGGCTTTTGTGCAATGCTCTGATCTTTATGACACCTTAGAGTGTCATGATGAACTTAACAAATTTTACCACATATATCAAATTTTATTAAACATTATAAAATTATATTTCATTGCTAATTTTACCAAAATCATTATCAAAGCACATCGATAAAAATTACCGACTGAGCTTTTGGTGTTCTCATAGAACCAGAAAAACGATTAATTTTGCCATTCAGGTAGCTTTGATCATACTTTTTTTCTCAGTGTAGATTTTTTTTTAAATTATTGAATTTTCCACTAACTAATTTAAAATAGATACTTGATAAAGATCATGGCACCCTTAAATAATAACTTGCCACTACTATTTTGAGCTGTAAAAGTTGTACAGTTTAAGCAAAAGTATTCTCTTCTGCTATATGCAAATAAATATATTTTAATATTTTAATCGATTTCAAGCCACTAAAATTATAAATATTGTCCTGTTTCCTACATCAAAACAATAATAAAATTATCCTAACTCAAAAATGATAAATATGTTAAAACAATGAAAAACGGATGTAATAAATATCTAATAAATCATAAACTTTAAAATCGCAATTAGTTGCTCAATCTAAACAAAAGTTTTCTCCTTTTTCCCGTAGAAATAAATATATTTTAGTAATCTGAAGAATTTGAAGCATTAAAAATGTAAATGTCGCCATACTTCCTACTTCAAATCCAAAAAAGTGGGAATATTTTTTTTTCTAAAATTTCTATGATTCAAAAATGATAAATATATGCTTATAATACAATACAAGAAACGAATATAAATGCCTTACAAATCGAATACTTCAAAATCAGGATTTAAACTAGATAAATTGTTCATAAAATATTGTTTTCATTTTTCCAAGTCGAGAATAGTGTGAGGATTTATCATTCATGATAACGAATTTTTCGTTCTCTGAGTTAACTTACGAAATGTTTATTTGTACCTAAAACAACAAACCAACTACTAAACTTTGCTTTATATAATAGTTCAAAACATCAATTATCACAACAATTGTATAACAATAAAAATAATACATAATTTATTGTGCTTTACAATTTACACCGCTTTCTTATTTGTGGAAACTATTTTTCACAATACCATTATCTCTGTTCATTGATTTAAAAAATAATTTAGAAATTGTTCTAAGACTCGCGTGTGTTTTTTTACTTCGTACTATTTAAAAGGTTAAATCTCTGTATAGTGTTTATATAATAATTTGTATATATTTAAATCATATATTTTATATCATTTTAGAGTAAGCATAATTATTTAGATTTGTAGATAATTATTTTAACTTCCCCATTTCATTTATAAAAATATTTATGCAAAAAAATCATTTTTATTTTGAAAATACAGATATGATTTCTCAATATATTAAATATTTTCCATTTAATATAAATTTGCGCGTTTTAATCAATAAATTACTTAGCATTTATTTAATGAAAACAAAGCACATAAATTTGAAAATTTCAAGGATTTTTGTAGTATTTTCAAAACACAGTATGGCGTAGTATGTATAAAAAATTCTAAGCATTTTTCTTCGAGACGTATTTCTTAATCATTTTTAAACTTGCACACATCAAATTTTATAATTAATTTGATGTAATTTTGATTTTTTATAATGGAGTTCAGTATAGCTTAAATTTAAAACTATGTAGATAGAACATTTTTAAAAACTTTATAATCTCTTCCACTATATATTCTAATATTAAGTTTTTGATTATAAATTAAAAATTTCACAAATTTAGAGAATTAAATAAAATTCTTTATCATTTAACCAATGACATTTTTTTATAACTATCGTTATAAAAAATGCGACCGTTATAAAGAAATGACTTACTAGCGTTCAACTCCGCTACTTTGCAATTTTGAACTCAATCCACAAGACAAGGGAACTTTGGGATCAAGTACTGGGAGAAATTTGCCTTCATGGAGGACTTTTTTAATGAAACTGATTCGCATTTGCGGTACATACAAAAGAAAAACCTCCTACGGTTAGCCTGACAGCAAGGGGACTTTAGCCCATGATTCGTCTACCACTGAGAATATTTCACGTCCGCACTGTGGTCAGTGCGAGTCGGATGCGGAGTTCGTATCGACCAGGCATTGCTGGGATTCGAACCCGGTTCACCTAATTAGAAGGCGAACGCTCTATCCCCTGAGCCCCCATAGCACACTTATGACAATTTTTAAAAACTTTTCTTTCAGGGTGTCACATATCCTGCGTGTCACGGGATATGGCGGTATTGGGCACCACCAATGGAGAGAAGTCGTCTAGCCACAATTGCTTTTTGTGGTAAGGAAATAATCATTCCATTTTCTTAGTCACACAAATATTTCATTCCATCCTACTATCAAACTATACAACGTGGCTCTAAATTCCTCGGGTGAAACCTAACTCTATCAATATCAATGCAACTCTATCAATAACAAATATTTCATTCCATCCTACTATCAAACTGTACAACGTGACCCTAAATTTCTCGGGTGAAACCCAACTCTATCAATATCAATATAACTCTATCAATAAAAAATATTTCATTCCATCCTACTAACAAACTATACAACGTGACCCTAAATTCCTCGGGGGAAACCTAAATCTATCAATATCAATATAACTCTATCAATAACAAATATTTCATTCCATCCTACTATCAAATTATACAACGTGACCCTAAATTCCTCGGGTGAAACCTAACTCTATCAATATAACTCTATCAATAACAAATATTTCATTCCATCCTACTATCAAACTATACAACGTGACCCTAAATTCCTCGGGTGAAACCTAAATCTATCAATATCAATATAACTCTATCAATAACAAATATTTCAGTCCATCCTACTATCAAACTATACAACGTGACCCTAAATTCCTCGGGTGAAACCTAACTCTATCAATATCAAAACTCTATCAATGGCAAATATTTCATTCCATCCTACTATCAAACTATACAACATGATCCTAAATTCCTCGGGAGAAACCTAACTCTATCAATATCAATATAACTCTATCAATAACAAATATTTCATTCCATTCTACTATCAAACTATACAACGTGACCCTAAATTCTTCGGGTGAAGCCTAACTCTATCAATATCAAAACTCTATCAATAACAAATATTTCATTCCATCCTACTATCAAACTATACAACGCAACCCTAAATTCCTCGGGTGAAACCTAACTCTATCAATAACAAATATTTCATTCCATTCTACTATCAAACTATACAACGTGACCCTAAATTCCTCGGGTGAAACCTAACTCTATCAATATCAAAACTCTATCTATAACAAATATTTCAGTCCTTCTACTATCAAACTATACAACGTGACCCTAAATTCCTCGGGTGAAGCCTAACTCTATCAATATCAAAACTCTAACAATAACAAATATTTCATTCCATCCTACTATCAAACTATACAACGTGACCCTAAATTCCTCGGGTGAAACCTAACTCTATCAATCACCTTTTGTATTTTAAAACATAATTCAGCGCATTTAAGTTTCAACCGTTTGGTGAAACAATGTTTAGGATATTATAAAAGTTGATGATTTACATACACATAATTTTTATTGACAAGTTTTGCTTGTTGAATTTTGTAGGCTCTTACGCAGGCGCAGTAGTAGGACTACCTTTATCAGGGATGCTTACGAGGTACATTGGTTGGCAGGCCTGTTTTTACGCATACGGTAAGTCAACTGTAATTAAAATTATTTATTTCCATTTTCTCGAAGCAGTCTAAGTGTTCTCAAGAACAAAAAATCTCTATATACTATAACGAGAAATTCTATTTAAAAAAGAACTTTATGCAGCAAAATAACTAATTAATAATAAAATAACTAACTAATAGCTTTTAAATATTTTAATGAAAGTAAATGCCCGTGAATCATTTTTTAACTTATCATCTGAAAAATGGTAACAATCATTTAAAAAATGACATCAAAATCATTTAAAAACTTATTTTCTACTTCACATTTCTTTTTACCTGGTCTACGTGTTGTATAAAATAAATTGAAAATCTCAATGGAAAAAGGCTCTAAGTGATATTTTTAGTCAATTTGAAATTTAGTAGAGAAAGACATTATTTAAGTCTTATTTTTAACAAAAAAATACAATATTTATTTAATTTGACAATTCATTAAATTTTAAAGATTTCAGTGAATTGGGTGCTTGCACTTCAAGAAGAAGAAGATCACGGTTACACACACATACGACCTGTGACACGAACGCAAGCTGAACGTTTATAAGCAAAATGGCATGTTGAAGTTGAGCTAAGTTTCACCATATAAGTTAGAATGTTAATCAACGAGACGATAATTAAATACAATGGTGTATCGCACATCGAATTTATTGAAATATAATTCTTTCTCGTCTGTGTTTTTTATTTAACTTAGATATATTATTTGTTTACAAATTTAATCATGCTACATTTTTGCTTCGATGCACAATACTTTGTTTATGTTCTACATGACTTCATTCCTTTCTTGTTGTTAATAAAAAAAATATATGGTGAAAGAATTGAAATCTTTGTGATGGAATCTTTGTGTAAGAATATAGAATGTGTCACTTAAAAAAATTGACACATGACGGGCTTGGCTTACTCGAAATAGAATGTAAGGAACAGGTGTCAACGTATACGCAAATGCCACGTTTTAACAACTAATTAGGATCTAGACACCCACACTACGTTATTTGCAGATATATCATTAAAGAACTTATTAATTGTCTTTGGATGTTCTCAATAAAGATAAGATTATATCAATGTATCTGATATTTTGTTGCACTTTGTACTTAAAAGTACTTAAGTACCATGAAATTAATGAGTACGTTTGGTACCGATTCCTTTCTGAATTATAAAATATACTGAAACTCTTAAAACTTGAGTAAAAAAGAAAAAAAAAAGAAAAATTACGTTTAAATCATATAAATTTAAACTGCAGATGGCAGCACCATTACAAAAATAAATCTTGCATTAGATTGTAGTTACATTCGTTTTGGACTAAGTTCTACGTTTAATACCAATTTCACTGACAAATAAATAGTATCCCCGTATCTACTTGTGTCATTTCGAAAGTGCTAACTGTGATGCATGAGTTTCTCTGTCTCTAGTTCCCATTTAACTAGGTGATAAGCTGGGGATTCCGTTTTCCGATCAAATTAAAATGAATTTCAGAAAAGTAATGTTTAAAATTTATTTAGTTTAGAAGTAAGCTAATATAAAAAATGTTCACAAAATATTAGAAGTTTGCTTTATTTTAAAAAAAATACTAAAATATTTTAACTTTAAAAAGATAAAAATCTGAAACTATTTTGAGTCGTGTATCTACTTAACCAAGCCGAAATTTTATAATCATCTTATATAATGAAACAGTTTTATTACCTTCTCAAACGACGATTATTAAATGTAACAAGATCTATCTGCCCCTAGCTTTCCCTAATAAATCCCCATAAAATTTAACATTTATTTAATTGATCCAACATTTGTTATTTGGATTTAAAATATCTATCATGTAGATAAATGCGTAAGTACTGTAAGTGACCATGCATTGATATCTTGTTGTTTTTAATTTGTAAAATAAAACGCGTTAAATAGCAAGTAAAAGGCGTAAGTTATAATAAAGCTGAAAACAATCAGACTTGAAGTAAGTCAATAACTTTTACCTGTATTCATAGCCTTTATGACTTTGCGATTTTATAAATTGTTGATAAACAAGCAAATAAGTTTTTCTAAAAATCTCTTATTTCGAAAGAATGAAGAAATTTGCTGTATTAAATTGAAATTATCTTTTGCCAAACATAAACATAGATATACTAAGCAGTAAATAAATAAATATTTATGTGAATTTATATGTACCTATTACAGCAATTTTACTATGATGTAACATAAATAATATGTAATTTTTCATTACCTGGCTTTAATTTCTAAAAATTTTCAAAATAAAAATGTTATCGTGCTTGAAGAATAATTCTTTGAAGATACATTTGCGAAGATACATTTTTGAAGATATAGATACATTTGCGTATAGATTTTTTGCTTGAAAATGATTGTATGTATTGTAAATGCCTTAATTTTATCTAATATAAAAATGTTATCTAGAATAAATGTATTCAACGTATATTGGAAGAGATTTGTACGATAGATATTAACAACAGTTGACAAGTACAAAAGTTTCAGTTTAAATATTGAGTATATGCCATTCAATATTGAGTAAAAAAAATTTCATTACACAGAAGTATAAAAGCATAACTTTGAGTTATACTGTTATAAAGCATTTTATAATTTGTATTTAAAATGTTTAGTCAGAAAATGCTGGCTTTAAAAGACATTTTGCACAATGAATGCATAAAAAAAAAATTTTTGATAATGTATTTAAAATTATAAAAAATTAATATTAATTGAAAACACATTGTTCTATTAAAAACCAATATCTCGTTTAATTAAAAAACTCTTTTAATTTAACACATTTAAATACGGACTTCATTTTAAACTGAAATCAATATTTACATACCACTTAAACGAACGATACTATATTAAATACAAAAAACTAAGATAACAAAAGAAATATAATTCTCCTACTGTCGCAATATTTCTATGCTTCAACTAACTACTTTCTATTTTAATTTGAACGAATTCATTAAAAAGAACAATTAATTTCTTTTACTAGTGCAAAATGAAGCAATGTCTTTAAATTGTAATCTTCTTAAAATGTAGTGTAAATATTACGTTGTACCATTTCTGCGAAATATAAAATACTAGATAATTAAATTTTGAAACTGAATGTTATCAAAACAAAAATTTCGTGATTTTTTTTTCTTTAAATAAAGCGATATTTTCCATAAAAATTTACTTTAATTATAATTTTTGCGTCTATAATAACTAAGCTTTAATTTGTAGTTTTTAAAAATTGAAATAGGTTAAGAATCAGGAATATAATTAAAGAAATAGAGAAATTTTAAAAAAAATTCTTTAACGCATTCGCAGAAACTACATAAATGCACTTACAGGGCAAAATTCATTTCAAACAAAATCAATTTCTAGTATGCATTTTCAATAAATGAAATAATGTGAGTTTGTTTTGTAAAAATAAATTAATATAAACTGAAAATCTTTAATTACATCGTCCGGAATTATTTTTCTTCAACAATTGTATTAAATAATAATAATGGCTACGAAATTAAATATTTAATTACTAGAATAAGTTTTAACTTTATGAATAGGCAATTATTATGACAAATTGCAACAAAATTAAAAACTTAATACCTTTTAATGATTTGATTTTTATTAAATTCAGTCATACTATTATTTCTTTTAAGTATGATATTTTATTTTTAAAATTATACTTAACAGAAATAATCTTAAAGTATTTGATTCTTACAAGAACAACACTGAGGAAAAAATTATTTTTTGTTATTCTACAAACTTTGATCTTGCTTAATTTGGGTGAGAGATTTCACGTCTGAAATTAAATTCATTCTAAAGCTATAGATTCTTTAAATGGCATTTTTAGTCTAATTTTGCCAAAATGTGTAAGTTTTAAAACATTATATGCAGGGATATTCATAATTCCATCCGCCTGTAAACGCCATTTTTCTTTACTACAACTGGCTTCAGTGGTACATGTTACTGCCATCTACCGGCATCTGCTTACAATAAAACTTGAATACTTTCGGAATAATTTCATATGTTCTTTTTTGCCATATTCGTCTTCGTTTTCTACTATAACGCTTCGGAATTTCGGAGGGAATTATGAATAACACAGCATAACAAGGGATAGCATAAATGTTGCAACAGGGCAGTTAAAGCAAGTATTGAAACTGTTTAGGAACCCATATTAGAAAATGTTGTCCTACACGACTAAGGGACATTTTCCTATTAAAACCTGTTAAACAGCACATGAAGAAACAGTTCAGGGAAGCGCCCCTATCGGCGTATGAGGACATTTTCGGGCATGGGTTCCTGCGCAATTTACATTCTAATGATATGCGCTGATTTTTCCAATTCCCTTTTTGTATATAAATTTTTTAAACCTGTACATTTCTACAAAAAATAGACTAAAAATGCCATTTAAAAAAATAATTGTAGAAACCTAATGTAGATTTGAAATCAGTTACGTGATAGTATCTAAGATTTGTTTTTAAAAATTTGAATTAATTTAATTAATTAAATTTGTTGCTCAGTGTTATTTATATGAAAAACGTTAAACTGAACTTTTTTAAGCTAAACAAAAACATAAATATTTCGAATACAAACAAACCATTGTAATTTCAGGTTAATATATTTTAATGTATTTAATATAATAACATAAAGTTTTTCAAGTGTATATTTTTAAACAATTTTTTAAAAAGTTATCTGTTTTGCAGAAATAAATATAAATTTAAAAATAAATAATGATCGTTCGTGTCATGCAGGTCATTAAAAATCTTTTCTTAATGAAAACACGGTAAATCATGTTCCATTTCATTTAGTTGGCTTCAAAACATAATGAAAAAAAATTGATGTTTTATCGATAAAATTTAAGAGGTTTTATCGATGTTAGTTTACGAAGTTTTATCGTTAAATTATAAACCTTACTGTCTATAAATTTTTTTATGATTAGTCTCATGTCTGATACAATATATATTTTTTCAAAGAAATTTTGTCTTTTTTTCATTTAAATAAATTAAATAAATACTTAATAAATTAAATAAT